TTTTAGAAATGTCTACCGTTTTATTTAGTTCACATCACCTAAATTAGTTAGCTGCTAGTAAAAGAGATTGTATTGCGGCTCTTATTCTTGGACCGAGAACTTTGAAATCCCAATATAAGTACTCAATCGTCAGGGTTTTAACAAGTTATTACTTTCTACATACTTTTTGGCTATTTTATGTATCTAAACATATGAAAAACATTATATTTTAATTTCTTATTTAATTTCAAACTATTCTCTCGAAACCCTACTCTAATACGAATATTCTCTTTTTAGTTAGGAGCCACTTCAATGTGCTTCGTCTGTAGCCATTTTGCTGCGGGTCAATCAGCCATCCGTGAGCGTAACGAAGATTTTCATGAAATAACTCGTCGACTTCTCTTTCCAGACGGACGGATGGTCACTTCACACGACTATGTTTTCTGGTGTGGTGACTTTAATTATCGCATTGATATGACAGGCCCTGAGGTCAAGCGTTTGGTCAACGAACGTAATTGGCTTGACTTACAACGCTTTGATCAGCTAACTACTCAGCGGCTCTCCGGCACCGTCTTCCGTGAATTTGAAGAGGGTCCAATACGTTTCGCACCAACTTACAAATATGACCAGTTCTGTGACGACTATGATACTTCGGAGAAGGCCCGATCTCCAGCCTGGACTGACCGCATACTTTGGCGACGTTGGCGAGCCTGGTTTCCGCGAATTGAAGTCGATGGCTCGGCTACCAAATTGGCAGAGATTAAATCTACCCCCATTGAAATCGACTGGTCTCCAGGTCGTCTCCTTGTCTATAATCGAGCAGAACTAAAGACCAGTGATCACCGCCCTGTTGGTGCTATAATGGATATAGATATTTCTGTGGTGAGATTAACTCGATGGCCAGACTTCTCAACTATGCCATGCGATTGCTCTGCTAAATTGCTGGTACTTGAATAAATTTAAAATATACTCCATCTATAGTCTAATCAAGGCTCTAAGCGAGACTTTGATCAAATTTAACTG